ACTGTTACGTCTTATTAAATTGGATGGTAGAAGTTGTGGGCATCATCATCTCTTTGAATATAGTGCTGTTAAATAAAAAGACAAAATTACTTCCTCATTAAGAATTTTAGCTGACTACCTCTTCACAAATTTTTTTTTTTAATCTACCATTTTTTCATATTTGTAATTCTTGTGTAAATGAACAGATGGGAACATTTTGCGTGCTAAACTTCAGGATTATTTAGGGAGGGGGTAAATGGTGAGGTTGTGTGCTCGTTGATACTTCCAACATAAGTGTATCAATTCGTAATTCACTGTGAACATCACTTAAAAAGTTCCCACTCTCTTGGTCTTAAGTTCTTAGGAACAAACATCCATATACGTACTACTGTGATTTCCTCATTTGATCCAGGGAAAGTTTTTGTGTAGGTGCTGTAGAACCAGGTGGTTGCTTTCCTTCCTAGGCCACAGAACCATGGTTTAGATTTAAAAGGAAAAAGAAAATGAGTAAGTGCAAGTAGTTGAAGGTGGGAGAAAGTGATTACTGTCCTTGGCACTATCTTTGTAGTGGATTGTTCCTTTTTCTGTAGAAAAAAATATGACCAGTTTTGAGGGGTTCATTTTAGATTGACACCATTGAAATTGGACTCTTCCTTTTCAGATGTTCTGAAGTTCTTCTATTATCAGTTCTTTTACAGTCCTAATTCCTCCCTGGGAACTTCGGTAGTGTTTTTGTCATACAAACCTACAGAAGTGAGGTGTGCAGAATGGCGTTTCACCTGTGCTGCTTTGGGATTGGGAAAACAGAAGTTTGCTTTTCTGTGTAGAACAGCTATTACAAGGTCTAGCACCTACTGCAAGCAGCTTTCAGGGCAAACTAGCATGACTTGGCAGCCGATTTACATAGCTGTACATGCACTGATGCAAAATCTGTGATAAGCCATCAATATCTGTCAAGACAGAAATAAAAAGTTTGTACCTTAATAGGCTAGGAATGCGAGGAAATCCATGGTTTCTATGCTTCAGCATATTCATGTGGAAGATACTGTTGTTAGGAATAATTTAAGGAACAAGTGGTGCTTATTCCAGTTACCTACAGACAGTACACCATTGCTGTGATTAGGCATCTCAGTGCGAGCACACTTTCTTATGACTGAAATCTATACATCCCTCAGAGATTGCCTTGGAAGCCAAAAGTAAGACAGTGGAGCCTTTCAGGACAGAGAAGAAAGCTTTACACAGCTAGGACTGCATGGGAATGCTAGGTTGTCTGAATAAAATTACTGCACTGGAATTTATCCGCAATAGCTGTAATCTTGTGAAACGTGCCATGTGATTTTTTTTTTTTAATTTTTTTTTTTTAATGGCATAAGCAGACATGATTTTGGGTTTATATCTTATCCAGAAGAATGAATTTTCATTTCCACAGTACACTACTAAGCTGGCTAACAAGTTCTTGATGCTTTTGGTATCTTAATATGTTTGGTTTAAGAGCGCAAGCTGCTAAATACCGCTCAGATGCTGGAGCAGAAAGATGCACAGATATTACTCAGTCTAGTGGAAAAAAAAATAAATCTGAAAAATTGGATGTAACGAAGTTGTTCCATTTGTATTTCTTACTCTTGTCTTTTTAGAAAGAGAAAAATGCAATAGACGTTATACTAAACAGATGCAACTAATATGCCTGAAGTGTTGTGTTCCATATATTTAATAAATTATGTTGTAGGTGGGGGTGTTTGCATACTTCTGAATTATTCACTACAGCATTTTAGATAATTTAGCTTTGTATCTTGTTTCTAAACCCACTCTCGGTAAATTAATATTTCAACCACAAACATTCAACATGTTAAGAAAAGGATGATTTTAGGGGGAGGGAGGAAGAAGGAAGGGAATAAAGCAGCTGGCATTCTTTTTGAATTTGAAGAATAATTGAAGATAATGTATTGTCTCGCACATGCCAGAACTGTCCTTTGGAACCTCAGCTACCATCAGCTGGCAGATGTCCAGTTATTTGACTTAACAGAGCTGAAGATCAAGCCCTAGTTATCCTGGCACCCAAAGTGGCAGAAACTTTTGTTTCAAACAAATGAAAATAGCTGGGTTTATAGGCTTGACTTGGAGAAAAAGTAGTAAGTGATGGAGAGGTGGCTTTTCTGATTGAACATGGAACTAGTAGTGATGGTAAGAGACAAAATGAATTAGCCTTACTAAACGTGGTGAGATTCTCATGCCCTTGCTGTTTTCTCTTGACTTGTCTATATAATTTGAGATGTAGAATGGGATGAAGGAAAGAACTATTCAAGCAACAGTAGGTCAGCCTTTTTATTTCAGTGTTCTGCTTTTATTTTAACATTCTTTGTAAACACCAGCAAAATGGGTGCTAGTATTTTAATAGCTGGAGAAAGGTAGATGGGTCTTGATACTCTCTCTGCTTGCCAGGTATTTGTCCAAGTATACTCTGCCTGTGCTATGCTATAGCATGGGGGTCAAGAGAGTATGTGCAGCCCTATGCTGAAGTTCTACTTGCAAAAGGTGTTGTAAAACTGGTGCTGTATGGTTCCTTGTAGGCAGCTTCCCAAGAGCTTTCTCAAGGAAATGGACCTCATGGCAAGGCTAAGCATCAAGTGGTGTTCCCCAGGACTTCTGCTTTATGTCCAAAATTAAGGTGGTGTCAGATGTATAGAAGGTCCTGCTAATATACTCATGCTGGGGTTAGGGCAGGTGCGGGAGCTTTTGTGTGTCTGCCAGACTCAGCCTCTCTTAAAATGCACTTTTGGGAATGCTTGAAAATTGTAGGAAGGGAAGTTTTCTTCTCCAAGAAGCTGAAGTCTCTTGGGCTTGTGACATGTGTGAAGCAGTCTTGTACTGATTTTAAATGTTCTGACTCTGGAAGACGGAAGGTGGAGTTGGGGAATTAGCCATTAAGGGCTTCTTTTGTCATTCAGATGAATGTAAAAAAAAAAAAAGTTTAAAAAAGATGAGTTTTTGGAAAACACAACTCAGTAAGCCTTTGTTTCCCTGCCCTAGACTACTACCCTTCTGAAACATCTCCTGCATAGATATTTCCATATAAAATCTAGGATTCCATATTGCAAAATGATTAGCCTATGATTGTTTTGCTTGTACACCGGATCTGCTAAGCCAGAGATGTAAAATGAACAAGTTGTGCATGCCATCTTCAAAATCTTTGTCTGCTTTTAAAGTTGCAGCAGTCGTGTTCACGTATAATTTTTGCTTTCTAATACTTCTAATCTTTCATGTGACTATAAATTATTGACTAGCTAAAACCAACCTATCTGTCCTGTTTTTTGACTAGAATAAAGTTAATTTTCTTCATAGTAGCTAGTATGGGGCGATGTTTTGGATTTGTGCTGAAAACAGTGTTGATACCACAGGGATGTTTTAGCTGTTGCTGAGCAGTGCTTGCACAGAGTCAAGGCCTTTTCTGCTTCTCACCCCACCAGCAAGTAGGCTGGAGGGGGCACAAGGAATTGGGAGGGGACACAGCTGGGACAGCCAACCCCAACTGACCAAAGGGATATTCCAGGCCATATGATGTCATGCTCAGTACATAAAGCTGGGGGAAGGAGGAGGAAGGGGGGGACATTTGGAGTGATGGCGTTTGTCTTCCCAAGTCACCATTATGAGTGATGGAGCCCTGCTTTCCTGGAGATGGCTGAACACCTGCCTGCCCATGGGAAGTGGTGAATGAATTCCTTGTTTTGCTTTGCTCGTGTGTGTGGCTTTTGCTTTACGTGTTAAACTGTCTTTATCTCAGCCCATGAGTTTTCTCACTTTTGCTTTTCTGATTCTCTCCCCCATCCCACCGTGTGGGGAGCGAGCGAGCAGCTGCATGGGGCTTAGTTGCCAGCTGGGGTTAAACACTATCATACAACTAAAGGTCAGACGGGCAAGAGAGTGGAGTCCCACATTTCTACAACTTTATGGCCTGAGATTCTCAACAGGAGGAAAAGTAGTAAACCGCATGCTTTTGTCAGTGAGGTGGGTGGATCAGACCCTGAGCACACAGCAGAAACAGACTGATGGAAGAAGAAATCTATGCTGATCTTTTGGCAATCAGTTTTCTGCTAGTAAATGCAGTTTTAAAGTCTCTGTCAGATGGGTCTTGCAGAATAGAAATGCCATCGCAAAGTGACTAGGGGGAAATCTTTCTGTGTCAGAATGATCAGTGGAGCTGGAGACATTGCAAAGGTGATGCTTATAAAAGAGCATAGCAGACGATAGGCATTTTTTGATGGAGACATACTCTCGGGTCTTTGTCTGAGCAACTTCTCTGGTGTTTTCGAGCCTGTCTGTAGCCAGGCAAATGTTCATATCCAAATGTTGAACTACATTCAAGTGTGAAACTGAACATTTGAAATCTGTAGGTGCGTGTAGAAACTAACAAGTTTTGGTTATATTTAGTGTGCTCATTCATTAATCCCATAGCTGAAATTCTTAGATCGAGAATGTAACAAAAAATTTACCTGAATTCCATAAGGTGAATCTGTTTAATTTCATCCACTTTTGTCCGAGGCCCTTTGTATTCAGGATTCCGCAGGATCCAATAGACTTAATATAGCTTTTGAATCTAGTAGTTTTTTCTCTTTTTCAATGTTTGTTTGAAATTGTTCCATAGCAGTTGTATAAATAGGTGTTTTGGTGGCTGTTTGCTTACATATCTGCATTTTCATGTAAGTAGTACTTTTAGTCTGTAGTGCCACCGAGGAGTCTATCTGCCATGAAAGACTTGGAGATCTGTGCTTCTAAAGCAGTCAGTCTTTGGGAAACTCCATTCCATAGCTACAGAAGTGAATGACTGACATGCCAACCTCAGTGTTTGCATTTGGCTTTAAAGTTCTTTGAGGCATGGACCATTTCCTTGTTAAGATTTTTCTGCTCAGCAAAAAGAGCTCTGTTGCTGGACTTTTTGGCACAGCATGCTAACACAGTGCACTTCACTGGGCAGCTGACAGCTTTTGTAAAGGTGGTAATTGAGTGATCTTGTTATCTCTTTACAGAATCATGTAAACCCAGCAATGGATTTTACGCAGACCCCTCCAGGAATGCTAGCCCTCGACAATATGCTGTACTTTGCTAAACATCACCAGGATGCTTATATACGGGTAAGGCTTATTCTCGTCTTTGAGATCTGTGGGGTTGCCTGTTCACACGCAACAACATGACATAAGTTTGTAAAAGCTTTGGGAGAAAGCTGTACAGCTGTCTAGTCTGTCATTGCCAAGTCAAATATTACAGATATTACTTTTTGCAAATATTACTTTTTGCTTAGGCCTGCAAAGAGGAGGGAGATGAGCTTATGTCTTTTTCAGATGCATGATGGAGGTCAATAAGCTCAGAAATGAGTAAGTGTGCAGAATTCTCTGCCCTGCTCTGTCTACCAAAAACTGTCAGTGTTTTCTGTGGAAAGGAGGCTTTGATGAGCAAATGCTTTGATAAGCGACTGAGTTGCAGTGTCCTGAGAGTTAAGATGCTCCCACTAAAACTACTGCTATATGTGAGGTAATGCTCAGAGAAAAATAGGTAAAAAGCATCATGATTGACTTGCACAACCCGTTCCTGCCCCCTGCCCACTCCACTTCCTACATTTGTTATTTCAAGGGTAGTTCAAGCAAGTTTTGTGTTGCATCCTTACAAGAAGAGGCACACAGCTGAATAATACCTGCCTCTGAATAGAACAACTTTTCCTGACCTTTATTGAAATCACATATTTGCCAAGCATAAACCTAGCAAGCACAGATGGGAGTAGAGGTTAGTCTAGAAAATCAGTGTCTTGAGATAGTAGGGATGGTTTAACTCCCCAAGAAAAAGCACACATGCACACCAGCTTAAAGAAGGTTGTGTATAGCAAGGAGACAGTAGATACACCAATCGTTTCTACTATAAAGTGAAGAGTGAACTTTTAATTTATCATCTAGTTTTTGCTCAGAGTAGATTAGTGTCAAAGTTCTAATAGGTTTGTAAAGGGTCTGCTGATATCCAGGCCAGGATGATCCAGGGACATAACAGGAGACCACAAGATTGTAAGATCTGCTCGTTAAATATATCTTTCTCCTCAGTCTGCATCTAGCAACAGCTGTTACAAAACACTGTGGTAGCATGCAATACAGCAATATTTATCAACCCCTATAAACCCCTGAAATTAAGGGCTGTTTCACATACTGGGCAATGAGTGTGTTTTCTGGATAAACTATGCTGAATTGTGGTTTTTTTTATAAAACAAGAATTGGTTACTGTTTCTCATTAAAATTTGGTAAGATCTGGACCCCTGCTACTTGATAGACTTCTTCTGAAAATTCTAAATTTAGAGAATATACTTAGTAGGGGTAGCCAGTGCTCCCAAATGAGACAGTCATTTTTTAAAGAAATCTGAAAGAATTTAAAGAGGACAGATATTCTGTTGAAATAGAGCTTTCATTGACATCTCTCAATTTTTTATTTTTCATTTTCATGTTGCAAATGCTGTCTTAAAAATTGGGTTCATTGTAGCATGTAATTAGACACTCTTTAGAATGGACTTTGTTGCTGGCTCAGCTTTGTTTCTATAATGCAGCATTTTTGTTGCTGCATTACTGAGAATTTTTGCTGTTATTTTGGGATGCCAGTTTTTATTCTTGTATGATTCCTGTTAGGAGAGTGTCTGGGTGCCTGATGTATTTCCTGCCCGAGAAAGGATACACATACACTAGAAATGCCACACTGAGGCACGCTCAGATTAAATTGTTTGCCCAAAGCTGCTTTGGGAACTGTTAACACAGCTTGGGAGTATGTTAGCCTGCCCATCTTTCTTGAGCAGTTCTACTTAGTGCTTATACTAGCATTGCTGGCATGGTAGCTCACTCATCTGCAGTGGTCCACCATGTCATCTTAACAGCATGCTGGACGCCTCTGAGATGAATGGTGTTGTACAACTCCTCTAGTGTGCTAGTCTTTGATCACAAAAGACACCTATTTTCTGTCTTTTCATCTCCTTGACTTACTAGCTGGTGTACAGTAGTTTCCTGTGGGTCCTGACATGCCCATTTCCTTCTCATATCTCATTCTATTTCACATCTAACATTACCTTTTCTTCATGGCCTTTGGCTCCAAAAGCTCCCACAACACCAGTTTTCTCTACTTGTACAGCCTGTTGACCTTGCTTATTTTTTCAGATATATTTCTACTGCTATGGTGTAACAAAAATTCTCTCTGTGGTCAAGGTTAAGTTGCCACAAGAAATTTGTAACTATACAAATAATACTAGCATACTGAACAACTTTTTTGACAGGAGCTCTTCTCTTTTTTTCATTGTTGATACTAGGAAATATTTTGGTTCCTAGGAGGAGAGATTATTTTCAACTTGGCCCTTTGCAATACAGTTTATTGCTGTACCATGGGTTAATTCCTAAGGCCCAAAATGAGATAATATCTGTGCTGTGCAGTAATTAAAAATCAAGACTGGAAACCAGAGTTGGTTTGAAACAAACTTGGAAAATATGAAGTTTCTCCTGACAGAATGGGATGTATTAAGCAAAGACACTATCAGGAAGTTGTCGTGGTTTTACCGAGTGTATTGGCAGTGCTGCATTTTAATGGACAGCACAAATCACTGCAATCTGTCCTGCCACTTTCTTAGGATGCCCCAGCTGCATGGCCCTTAGGAAGGTATCTTGTATTACTGAAAAAAAATGGATAAGGAGAAGTTAGAAGAGAAGGCAGGCAATTAGTAATCTCTTCCCTTTTTGTTCCTTGTTCTGCCTCTCGTAAGTGATTCTGCTTAGAAATAGTTTGCATGATAAATGGATTAGTGAGGTGGGAAGGATGTCTGAAACTAAAGTGCCCTTGGGGTGGGGGTGGGGGCGGCAGTAGGGCTTCAAAGACCAGTAGCAAACAAAAGTACTCATAGGAAGAGTAAATACAGTTGCAGTGTGTTGAAGAACATGGGTGTGAAGCCAGTGGAGCAGATGGATAACTCTGCATCTTGAAAGCAGAAGGCATTTCAAGGTGAAAACAGGGGTGTTGCACGGTGAAGGAGGAAACAAAAATGACCAAACTTTCCCTGTTTGATTCTTTCTTACCTACTTCCCCACAATCCATTTCTCATTCACCTTTTTCCTGTTGGATACTTACTCCTGAAATTACAGTAATATGTTTTCTTGACTTGCTGTCTTCCTTCAGATAAACATACTGTTGTTTTTCTTTATTTAGATTTTGTGTTAGTTGGTTTCAATTTTGGGGGAGGGTGTGGTGGTAGGGGGGGGGGGAGGTTGTTTACTATGCAATATGACTGGAGCTTCCAGAAGAAAGAGTGTTAGTGGAGGGGGAAAACCCCCATGTTTTCTTTGATTGTGTAGTATCCTTAGCTATCATTTGGATTTTTAAAAAAGTTTCCTATTGAATTAGTTTCCTGCTGAGTTAGCTTTTCTTTCTCTTTTTTATGAATTATCTGGTGCTATCAGTGACTGATATGCACTGCATTTTTTTCATGTTCCACTTCAATAATCAATTGCTATTGGAAGACGATTTGCTTTTAAAAGGTGATGACATAGTATATGGAATGCATTGATGGCAGTAATGTTGAGTATCTCTGCAAGAAATTTCAAAATTTTTCGCAGGAAATAATTGGCAGTTTCCCAAGCTACATAATTATAGGACAGTCAGAGTGTATAATTAAAGTTAACGGTGAAGAAAATGATTGGAATAAAGCTTCGTGACAGATAATTTTTTTGTTGTTGTTCTTTTGGAGCAGACAAGTCCCCCCTTGGTTCTAATCTGTTCCTTTCCAAAACTATTTCAGCTTCACGTTCTACTACTTTTAAAAATAAAATTATAACTTACCATTTAAAACACTTTATTCAGTGCAGATATCTTGAGATTTTTCTTACTGGTAACTTGTAGCAATGTGCCTTCGAAACTTTCCTGAGTGTAAAAAGGGTCTGAGGAAAAACCCTTCCATGGAAATACTGTTATGCTACCATTGGTATTAGTATCTCCATTTATTGGTGCTTTGTCATTGATTCGTTTGGGAATTTGTGGTGCAAGACTATTCAGATCCATTTTGTTTTCAAGATAGAATGAGGAGAGAGGTATAAATATATGAAACCGAAATATTTTGTATGCATATGTGTGTGGGGGGGTGTATTCATTTGCCTGATTTTGGTTTTTGTACACATGCATTTCAGTGATCGCTAATATTGATGTAAAATAATGATATTTACTTAATTTGGTGTAAAGTGCAAACTAAAGGAAGCAAAATGGAGCACTCCTTTTATTTGTAAACCAAAAAGAGAAATTTGATAGTTGTTGTCCTGTGTTTAAATGTGCTGTGTTTGTGCCTGGGATGCTTCTGTAGAAACACTGGCTTTGCAGTTTTGATAAGTTGACCCCTATATGTGCAGTCAGTGTTCATTCAGGTGTTCTTGATAGCAGGCAGCAAAATCAAAGCTACTGCTCCAGTTGTGGGTGGACTGCCATTCGTCTTGGATCTTGGCTAATTTAACAGTATTTCCTGGCAGAAAAAGAAGATGTCATTGGGTAAACTGAATTTACAGCAACTATGCCTTAGCTTCTAATGCACTACCATTGAAATATTCCCTTATTTTACATTTTCCTCATGGGCATCTAAATATAGTGATAACCTTCATCTGGGAGGGAGTGTAGGATTTTACTTAAAGGTTACTGTATTTCACAGTAAGTCAGTGGAGTCACAAAGAGGTCCTATACGACATTGTCTCTGGTGGGGTACACATTTCTTATTCTAATGAATTTGCTTTTGATGACTGCAGGTTGGTGACTTGTCTATATTTTTCTTCTGCGCTTATGACCAGCCATATTCTAGCAGGTCTCACTGCTTCTTTGGGGTGAGATTCTGCCTTGAGGAGACACATACTGTGTCTCCTTGTTTTGTTTAAGCACAAGAGATTGGTGCTTCAGGCAGAAACTGTAGATAGACTTAGCAGCTCTGTGTCTGATCATTGGCTGTCCACCTGTTTGGATTCTGCCCAGCTGGTTGCCCAAGTTTATGCCCAATTCTTTGCCATTTATTAGGTTAGTAGGTTCTTCATATGTGTAGGGAAAAATAAGTGTTCCTTGGAAAGAGATCATTTTACTGTAGCCTGAAATTCAA